CTGAGGCTCCTAGATCACATAGACAATTGCTGAAAGTCAATTGCCTAATGGAACATGGCAGAGTGAAAGATCCAGGATCTTCCAGCTTCTCTTGAATAATCCTCTCACCAGCGGCTTGATGCATAATGACATCTTCTTCGTCATCTGAATCCTGATATATGTTGAGCCTTTCCAGTATCAGGTTTCTCACATCTTTGTGAGGGTCTGAAATCAACTTGAGGACTTCTACTAAGGGCATCACAGATTCCATCTCATCAAGTTGTTTTTCTGCCAGAGATTCATATATGCTTTTCCAAGCTTTCCTGAACGTCCATGGAAGAGCAAGTGAAGGTGATGGAGCTGGCTTGAATCGTTTTACCATTCTCTCGATTATAGTAGCCTTCTCCTCCAAGTCAGACTGAGCCTGATAGAAAGTTTGAGCTGCATAGTCGATCTCAGCAACAGAGACTTCAATCTGAACGGAAGCCTCCCCTTCTTGAATTACACTGTCCTCAGTGTTTGATGTAGAGACATGTTGAGTTGACAGCTCTCGATCATGTCTGATAATGATTGCGTGGGCAGTGGCATACTCCTTAGGGTTTTGTATTGCTTTTCCTGAAACCTGGCATGGGTTGTTTGTAACAGGTGGTTAAGCGGTGATGCCGTCCAGATATCGTACCCTTGTGCTCAATGATTCGAGCTTGCTATTCATTTCAACGAACTATATGTCAATTTTGATGTTTAAGTCAGCCAGCTTCTTAGCGGCTTCCATTACCCCCGCGCCTTGGCCTTGCATGATCTTTTGGAGCATATTCCTGATGTCTAATTCCTGAGGTGTAGAGGCTTGATATTGCTGTGGTGTGAAACCAGGTGGTGGTTGCTGTTGTTGGTATCCCCCTTGAAATTTCGGTTTTGGAACAAACCCTTGGCTTTGGTTGTAAGAAACAAACGGTTTGGGTTGGTTCAGCTGCTGCTGCTGAGGGTAAACTTGGTCCTGAGGATTAGCAACATTTGTGCTTCTGTATGACAGATTTGGGTTGGGTCTATAATTGTTGTACCCTTTGTTGTAGCCGTCTTGGTTCTGAACATAGTTGATTTCAGCGCACTGATCATTCTCCCCCTCTTGGATTTGGAATACTTCGTCTTCAGAGGCGAAGTGAACATGCTTCTGCTGCACTTGGAGGAGTTTGTCAATTTTGTCATTGAGAGCTTTAATCTCTCGGTGGTGCTTGTCATCAGATTCAGAGCTGGTGCTGATGCTTTTGTCATAGTTCTCGTTGTAATTACCATTCGACTGAGCCAAGTTTTCAACTAGCTCCCATCCTTTTTCAATATCCTTATTCAGGAAATTCCCGTTGGAAGCGGTATCTAGCAGCATCCTTAATTTAGGCAGGACGCCTCTATAGAGTGTGCTGAGAAGAGAAGCTTGCTTAAATCCGGGATGAGGGCATTTGGTTTGGTAACCCTTAAAGCGCTCCCAAGCTTCACAAAAGCTTTCATTTTGCTTCTGAGTGAATCCGGATATCTTATTCCGGAGTCTTGCAGTTCTGGAGTTGGAGAAGAATTTTGCAAAGAAGACCTTTTTGCAGTCATCCCAGGTCGTGATTGAATTCTGGGGTAGCGTCTTTTCCCAAAGATGGGTTTTATCTCCAAGTGAGAATGGAAACAAGCGAAACTTGAAACCATCTCACTAACTCCATTGATTTTAGTAAGGTCACAGAGCCTTTCAAACTCGTCAAGATGATCGAGCGAATCCTCCATTGGCAGACCATGAAACTTGTTCCCCTGAACCATTGCAATGAGACCGCTTTTGATCTCAAAGTTGTTGTTCTGTACTAGAGGTAGAACAATGCCATGACGCTGGTTGTGGTTGTGTGGAAAGTCACCAGCACCAATGTTGGTAGGTTGCTCCTGCTCATTACAACGTCAGCCATTGTTTCTGTGTCTGTCTGTTCTCTCAGTTGGCGAGCAATACGATCGATGTTATCTGAATAGGAGGTTCTGATTTCCTTGTGACCGTGTATGCATGCAACAGATAGCAGCCTGGCTATAACAGAGATGCGTCTATAAAGCGGGTTGCAAGGTACCTGAAACACAAAGACAGAAAAGGCACAATGTTAGTAACTTGTGTAATAAAAACAAACTTGATCTTAACGTTTCTAATGATCTCAAATATAGCAAACAAACACCAAACTGGCAACGACGCCAAATTGATAGTAGGATTTTAGTCAATTAATTCCTAAAACACTAATCATGTCGGTGCAATATTTTAGGTTGTCAATCCAATCCGGTGTGATGCAAACAGATGAGATATGATTAGAAAGCTCTAAGTCAAGCCAAGTAGAGAGTTGGTTGGTTCTAACATTCCTAATATGCAATAACAGAAATGAAATGAAACTAAAATAAAAAATGGCAATAGCAGGCAGATGAGTAATAAAGCTGAAATGATAACAGACAATCAAATGGACAAACGATTCCTAAGGATGGGGTAATCGAATAGTGTGGTCTCCTTAATCTATTCAGGCGGTTGACAAAACTTCATAGAAGCTATCCCTAGACAACAAGTTCAACAACAGATTACTTCACTACCGTGACAAGAATCCTCAAGCAGAGCTAGACACTGACCGAATCACCATTAGCGATCTCTAACTAAGGAAGCAATATAAAATCAACTTGTTAAAGCCAATACCCTCTCTACACAGCCAATACCTTGGGGTATAGGCGAGTATCTCTGGAATTAATAGATCCAACATTCCGTCGAACACCTTTTGAGCGCGGGAATGTCTGGATTCATATTCCAATTGATCATAAAGGAACAAGCAGTAAGCGCAACTAATCCAGAAGGGATTCTAGTATTCTAAACTCAACCAACTAAAACGACCAAGTAAACCACAACTACACTATCCCTTCCTCAGAAATACGGTTCACTACTCAGACATAATCAAAGAGAATAGCAAAGCAACGATTGAAAACATGATAACAGAAATGATAAAGGATTAAAACGAAAACAGACAGAATCAAAGACAATAGCGAAGCAACGATTGAAAACATGATAAAAGAAATGATAACGGATTAAAACGAAAACTGAATATCAAATACTTGAAAGTGAATACAAAGACGCAGGAGAAACACTGCGGCTACGAAAGTTGCGAAAGATAAAAGTTGGATGGATAATCGATGCCCTAGGGAAAACCCTTAGAGGCTACTTAGATAAGCGAAAATGAAACAAATAAGGAAAGTTTGAGATAGTAGTCTTCACATATAGTAGTCTTCACATCGGGACCTTGCGATCGAGTATGTCATTGACATCTGATGGGATAAAATGGGCCTCCCTGGTATGTCATTGGCATCTGATGGGCTGAAATGTGCCTCCCTTTGATCTAGTGATCTAAAGTGAAGACGAGATGGAATGGTCTAGCGACCCTGTGATCGAGTGCGATCGAGTGGATGTCATGAGGTGTTCATCGAGTGGTTGCTTCGGCTTCTCTTCTCTTCTTAATTCTCAGCTAGTCTAGTTAAATGCAGAACGAGCAGATAGGCCTCCTGGTGGTCGAGTGGCGATCGAGTGGTTTTGATTGGGTGATTCCTCCGGCTTCGTGATTGAGTAAAACTGAGCTGCTAGCTTCTCCGGAATTGCGATAGAGTGATTTGCCCTGGCAGGGCTTCAAGGCTGCGATAGAGTACTTTGGCTGAAGGCGTCATTGGACATTCTGACTTTCTGCTCTGTTTCTCCTCTGTTTGAACTCCAAAAGCATCCAAAGTACCTGAAAAGAACCAAATATGCAATGCACATATGCAATCCTAATGCAAAATTGTCTTATGTAGCAAAACACACTAAAACGACTCCTAATGAGATGAAATGTGGATGAAACAGTGACAAAGTGGTGAAGAATGAATGTCTAAATCATGCAAAGTATAGACATATCACCGAATTCTACATGCAAGACACTTCTACTTTTCTCTTCATCCAACGTGGTTATATAAACATATACATCATCATCATCCCTAATATATAAATATGTAGGAGGTTTAACACCCGATGGAATGTAACTCAATTTTAGCTTTATCGTAGATTCATCTATCTTAATCTTCGTGCATATCTTATCCACTAACCGCGAATAAGTTATCTCCTCCATTGATGTTGTCCTAAACAATATACCATACAAACCAACTATTTTTGGATTCCATTGATATGCTTCTCCGGATTTTGAATAATATCCATCCTAATCAAAATATATGATTATGCCCATTCTCCTGGAAAAAACAAAAAAAAAAACATTAGCTATACCTAGATTTTCCCGTTATAGCAAATTGTACTTCAAACAGCTATACCACGCTCATTTTCAGAAATACCAGTTATACCATAAATAGTACTTCAAACAGCTATACCACGTTTCTCAGTTATACCTAAATTATTCTGTTCTAGAAAATTGATTCTTCGACTAAAAGCATTAATCTGCCTAAATTAACTACGAATCAACCATTACAGTACATTAAAATGTCTTAATAGACCGAGAATACATAGTTACCAACATAATATCCATCAGTTTCAAATACCAATTTCAAACCTATCAAATCTAATTGAAATCTACAAAGTACAAACACAACAACACAAGACTAGATGAATTAAGATGTCCAAAGTATAAGAAGAGAATGGTAAAGCTCAATTTGAATAACGGAAGAAAAACGACGGCGAGCTTGGTCGATTTGATTCAACGCCGGAGGATTCGACGATGGCTGCAAGTCGTCGATTTCAATTTTGTCGGACACGATGAGGGAAGAAATTCTGGAGATTTTTTTATTGGTTAATTTTGTTTTTATTTTATGTATTAAATAAATGGTATTGGTTTGGAGAGTAAACCATAATTAGTTTGCTTCGTCCGGTTCGTCGGGTACGGGTAAACAAGGATTTTTAAAATTCATTCAGAGTATGAGAGTATATCAAATTATAAGAAAGTATTTAGACTCATTTTTGGAGAGTAAGGAGCTTTATAGATCATTACCCACACACACAAGTGGAGAAATCAGCTAAGATATTCATTGGTGTTCTACTATTTTCAACGTGTGAGTTTCAAGACAAATTTTATGTTCCAATTGTATTCCATATTCATCCTTCTCATTATATCATGAGTGTGAATATATAAATCAATTATATGGTTTTTAAAGGTACATCCATTATGGTACGAATCAGATATGTATCTTGCAAGACTAACTTTGATTGTGTTAACCTCAAATGTCCAACGCCATTTGTAACCCCCAAATGTGTGAGCGGTGGTTGTGAATGCCCCCTTAAAGAACTCTTGACATTACTGAGTGATACCAATTATGGTGTGGCTGCTTGCATTGACTATTGCAAGGCAAAAGGTGAAAATGCTTATACATGTATCTTGAACCATTGTTATTGTCGCAAACCTTCCATGTAATATTATTAAGGTTCTGTATAAGCTTTTTAAATATCTGATTTTTATATACTATGAATGTCTTTTGAATATCGATTATATTATTCAATAACAATAGTGTTTATGTTTGAACATTTGACTGATAAGAAACCCTAGTTGGTATTTTTTCGTTCACTAATTTTTCTAAAATGGGACATCTAGCTAATAAACACATGGTGTAGATAAATTTGTTGTTTCATTACTGTAAACAAATTGGCATATACAATGTGTGTCTAATTAGCAGATAAACAAAACGTTGTATGCAACCACTCAGATGAAAAATAAGAATATATACTCTTAACTAGATATAAGGAAATCTAAGAGTTTCACACAAATTTGTAAAACGCATTACTGAAACTTTAAAACTCAACAGAATCACACATACAAAAGCATATAGATCTAAAAGATAATGAGTCCCGAAACAACGACTATGTCAAACATAATTCATCAAACTATGTATTAATCCAAAAATTCAAAACCAAACACATATATACTAATATGAATCAAAGACCTATATGATCAGACTTAGTAAATCGATTTGCCACTAAGATTAAGAGTTTTAAAACACAGAAAATTGAAATCTTTAAACAAGTTACACGAATTTAAAGAACTCATGAAATCTACATGCAAACACTTAACATCGACTTGTAAATTGTTAGAAATTGAGAAAACAATAAGATTTTCTTTCAAATAACTTACCAAATCTACATGCAAATTGAAATTGAGACTTGCAAATTAGACAAAATAGAGAGAACTAATAGATTAACCTGCTGAAAGTTCAATCAATCGATAGAATACGCAGAAATAATTTCAATCATACAAGAGGGTAAACTAGATGAAAAGAGAGATAAGAAAGACAAACCAATATGAAGCTTCTAGGAGGAAGAACAACAACAACAAACACAGAGACAACAACAATAATCGATTTTATTAACTCGATCAAATAGGATATCTGCGAGAGATTGAGGATAAATTAGGGTTTAAATTTTGAAAATCGATCAAATAGGATATCTGCGAGAGATTTAGATTTAGGCTGACAGAAAATCGGAGAGGTTTGGGGTTTTTTCGGGTTGAGGTCACCGGAAAGGAAAAAAAAAATATTTCTCTTTTACTAGGTTGTGTGAAAGAATAATTCATTTGGAGGATTTGAGATTTTTTTAATTTCTATTTGAATTTTGTAAATAAATTAGGAAATTTTAATTTTTATTAATTATACATGAAACTGAGGATAAATTAGGGTTTAAATTTTGAAAAACACATGTTTGACCAATCTACTAAAATAAGGAATAGATGGGCAAATTTTATTGTAGATATCCTTTTTCCAATTTTTCCAAAAATCAATTCTGCAAGAAAGTATTCATGGCTTACTTTTTTAAACAGTCTAACCAAGATCCATCAATAACTAGTTCAAAGTCAATCCGATAAAATAAATTCCCTCATATATTGAAGTAATAAGAGCATTGTATAACAGCGAAAAAACTGACTTACTACATGATATAATTTACGCAGATCATTTTGTCTGCCCGTTGGATGGATCAAAGAAATCATAAATATTGCTAAGATAACTAAGAGATTTATAAATTAAAGTAACATATTATCTTGAGAATATATTACTTCCTCGGTTTCAAAATATAGAATGCACACATTTTAAGAATATATATATTTATTACTTCCTCGGTTTGAGGCAAGTCTAATTTGTAACAAATCATTGGATTTACTATTCTAGCGATTTATTGTATATAGCAACATTTAAATGTATCTGAATTTTCATCTAAAACCAACTATGAAGAACTTTTTTTAAGTACATGCATGCATTCATTCTTAAAAACATTTTAATTCCAAAAAAGAAATGCATGATTCCAAAAAAGAAACATGTAAGAATGAATAATGTTTCTTTATATTTAATGAAATACCATTCATTCATTCATATTTTGAAAATGAATTTCTAATTAAAAATAGTCATTTAATGGTTGGCATGAGTTAATAATGAATTATGTAATCTATAACGGGGAAAAACCCGAAAAAACAACCGTCTAATTTTAATGTGTCCATTTAATACCTACATTATTAAATTTGCCCGAAAAATATCTAAGTTGATTTTTATGTCTTTTAAAATCCTTCATTTTTTAATTTTTTGGCAAAATCAGTTATCCGAGTTAACGACTGTTAACAGTGGTAACAGAATCGCTAAAACTTACTCCTATTTTCGTAGTAAGGTGGTTGTGAGAGAGTTTAATACCCATCTGAACACAGGTTCGACTATCATATTCGACCATTTTTTGGACTTTTTTTTAGTCCCACACCTAATTTCCAGCGACTATAGCCACTGTCGGAGCGGAAGGAATGTCGACCACCGTGTTTCACTGAAAGATCACTTCTTGCAAGTAAGACCAAAAAAAATCAGAAAACGAGATCTGGAAAAGAATTTAAGGAAAGAGGAGAGAGAGATTTTGCTAAAAGAGTTCTCTGCTCCCTTCAGATCAGAATTAATTAACGTACCAAGAGAATTGTTAAACAAAAATAGTTTCGCCGGCGTTGAAAGAACGATGGTCTAGAGAGAGAGAGAGAGAATTAAAAAAAGGTAGAGGATAGATTTGAACTCATGTTTAACTGGATATCAAACTCTCACATAACCACCTGACTTCGATAATATTTTCATAACTATTAGAAAAGAAATTGTATATAAACACCTTAGGGTTAAGTTTTAACTGCAATTAGCATTCCGTTATCATTGTTAACGGTCGTTAATTCGGATAACTGATTTTGCCAAAATTTAAAAAATAAATGAAGGTTTTTTAAAGACAGAAAAATTAATTTAGATATTTTCAGGAAAATTTAATAATGTAGGTATTAAAGGGACAAAACATGTTAAAAAAAAGTATTAAACGGACAAATTAAAATAAGACGGTGGTCTTTTTGGTTTTTTTCTTAATCTATAACTAACTACACAATTCGGTGTTTTTATTTTCTCTAGTAATTTTAAAATTTAAAATGCAAGAATAGCATATATTAATAAAAATTTCAACAAGATTACTTACAATTAAATGAAAAAAATATTATTATAGATTTAAAAGAAAAGAATTACGTTTTTCAACCGGTTAATCAGGCTATGATTTGATAATACGATGACAAAAAAAAACAAATCACGTAGGAATCAATGATTCCACCTCTTGTATTTGATGTAGGAGAGATTAGCAGTTTTACATTTCTTTTCATATTTCCTTATTTTAAGTTTTCTATGTTACTTAGAGTTTTCTGTTTTATGTTTTGGTTTCTTTAGAGAGAGACCCTAAGTTGTTTGCTGGACACGTTTTTCATTCGAATTAATAAAAGCAGAGAGTTTTTCTCTAATTTGATGGATTTCCAGAGTTTCAACCCTTCAAGTTCGACGCTTGCAAACTTATTCCTACTTAGGCATAGTGCTTGCTATTCCTAGAGGTTCCGACTGCGTCAAGTGGTATCAGAGCAGGCTTTCTCCTGTCTCAGCTATGGCAGATGAATCATTGACGAAAGCAGACCTTCAGGGCTTTACCGAGGTTGTTACCTCGGCTCTGACTGCAATGACCAATCAGATGGCTTTGACAACTGAGCTCAAAAACGTCAACAACAATAATAATCAGCAAAACGGCAGAGAAGAAGAGCAAATAGATCCTAACGAGAATCAACGCAGAGGCAGAGAAAGAGACTCAATTATGGTAACAAAAATCAGCATAGAAATCGGGGAAAAGAAATCCCAAGAGTGGATAACCGTGTTATTATCAATGAAAATTCAAGTTCTGTTGAAGAGGAATTTGTGGAGGAAGAAGTTGAGGAAAGGAATCAACAAAATAGTCATGATTACCGTGTAAAGGTTGACATTCCATTGTTCTATAGTACTATTGGAGTTGAGGATTTTCTAGATTGGCAAATCACCGTTGATAGGTTCTTTGAGGTTATGGGTATCCCTGAAAAGAAGCAAGTTAAGATGGTAGCAATCAGATTAAAGAGTATTGCTGCTGTGTGGTGGGATACACTTGTTGTTCAAAGACAAAGACAAAGAAATGGGGCAGTGAGAACATGGAGGTGAATGAAACAGCTCATGATGGAAAGGTTATTGTCGGAGGACTATGAACAGATTCTCTATAAGATGTATGTTGAATGTGTATATTGGAGTTCCTCCGATTTTCTGAGCGTAATGTTCTAGGAGAGACAGAAAATCAGAAAGTAGCAAGGTACATCAGTGGATTAAAGAGAAGATGGGTCTTCAAACTGTTTGGATTGTGCAAGAAGCTTCTAGTCTAGCTTTGAAACCTGAGTTAATGGAAAAATCTGCCTGTAATTTTACTCCGTTTAGAAGATACTCACCCCAAAATAATTCAGAAGTAACAGAAGATAAGGAGAAGACTGTATTGACAAGAGATGCTAACATTGGTAACAGAGGAGCTAGTAATATTAACAATGGTTCTAATAATGCTGAGAAGAATAAAACACAGTCCAGAAGCAAACTAACCCTTATGCGAGACCATCCATCGACAAGTGTTTCCGCTGTCAAGGACAAGATCACAGATCGAGTGTTTGTCCTAGTAGGAGAACTGTAGCTTTTCTAGAGGAAGAAGAAGAACTTGAAGAAGAGGATGAGTATGCAGAGGTTGAATTTGCTGAAGAAGAGTCGAATGAGATGATAAATCTTGTACTTCA